GTGTTTGTACTATCCTGGTATTTTAGCACCTCAAGAAATGTGATGGGCAGTCAGAAAGTAAAAGCTGTGTAAATTCCATTATCTATACCATAGTTTGTAGACGCTTCAACTTTCACACAAAGCAATGACTGCGCAATTATCAGTTAAATTAGTGCAGCGCCGAGTAGAAAAAAAGAGGCCTGGTCAGGAAGGGGGGTAAATCCTCAGGAGGGCAAGTGGTTAAAAATCAGTAAATGTCATGGCTGTTAAAGAGCGGGAAGACCCAGCATCCTTAATAACCATGACTTAACTGCTGTCCGTGGGGCTCCCCGCTAACAGCAGAATGTATACAAGAGAAATGCCAGCATAAAAAAATAAAAAAAACTGCATAGGTGTCCCCTCTCAATCCACACCAGGCCCTTGGTATGGTATGGATTTTGAGGGGAAGCCCACACCAAAAAAAAAAGTTAAAACTGTGTAAGGGTCCCCCCTCAATCCATACCAAACCCCAAAACAATATTTTCTACTTCCTGTTGTAAAACATCAAATTAAAAAAAAAAAAAAAAAAAATCAAAAAACCAAATTTCTCTGTTTCAAATTTAGACCAAAATGTATTTTGCTACATGTGTTTGGTAACAACAGTAAGCAAGCTAATCCTGAATGGAAAACTATTCATGACAGGTTGTTTACATTGTTAACGTTTGATCTCTAGGACTAATCAAAGCAATCACATGATACCCAGTTACTGGTAACAGCAGGCACACTGGCCTGCAAGTGATTAAGGGACTGTTTTTTTGTGAATATTACTTTTTACATTAGTATTTAGCCACCCAGCTTTAACTTTTGTTCTTCTATATTTGTTGCCCAGTGGAATACACTGATAAATGCCATTTTTTAATATGTCCTAATCACTTCCCACCCAGCCACTGTACTTAAATGGCCGGATGGGACCAGTGCCGTTCTGACACAATGTACCCATATGTCCTGTTAGAACCTGAAGCTGCGTCCTGCAGACATAGCACATCACAGATCGGCATGTGTTTTGGGGTGTAACTGCATGTATGCCTATGTTGTGTGTGAGAAATCAAATGTTAAAACGACAATTTTGGTGGCGAATAAACCCACATTTTTTAAAATTACATTTTCCAAAGAATTATGGGAAAAAATTACAACCTAAAAAGAAAAACTCACCATCCCTCTTACTAAATACCGTAAACTGTCTACTTTCCAAAAAGAGTCATTTGGGGGGTATTTGTACTGTCCTGGCATGTTAGGGCCTCAAGAAATGAGATAGGCAGTCAGTACACTTGGTGTGATTAATATTCAGTGATACCTACCATAGCTTGTACACTCTAACTTTTACATTGACCAAATAATATACACTGATTTTTTTTTTTTTTTTTTTGTAACCAAAGAAATGTAGCAGTATACATGTTGGTCAAAATTTATGAAGAAAAATTACTTATTTGCAAAACGTTATAACAAAAACTGAGAAAAACATGCTTTTTTTCAAAATTGTCAGCCTTTTTTTTTTATTTAGCAAAAAATAAAAAACCCAGTGGTAATTAAATACCACCAAAAAAGCCTATTTGTGTAAAAACTTTGATAAAAAATCCCATATGGGTACAGTGTTGCATGAATGAGTAATTGTCATTCAAAGTGTGATAGCACCCAAAAGCTGTAAATTGGCCTGGGCAGGAAGGGGGTGAAGTTGTTCAGTATAGAGGTGGTTAAAGCAATCCAAATTCTCTTCAGTGTTCCTTGTTGCAGGCATATCATTCCTTTTAGCATCATGTAGTATGGAACAAAGCTTATTAAAGTATGACCTTTTCCTATAATTTATGACAACTGTCATTATGTGTGATCACAGTTATCTGAATTTACTTCCACATCTGCTTTATTTGTAGCTAGCAAGTCCAGCAAAGCATTATCTCTAGTTGGGGCTTCCACTATTTGATTCATAAAATTGTCCTGCATTACATAAAAAAAATTATGAGCCTTAGTTCTGGCTGCCCGACCAATATCAGGATAGTTGAAGTCCATAATGATTATTACATTTGTTTGCCATCTCTAACTGTAAAAAGCTAGATGGATCTCCTCCTTTAATGTTAGGTGGCCTATAGTCTACACCAGCAATGGGCAAACTACGGCCCGGCGGACCTTTTAATCCGGCCCGCGGAGCTAGGCTCCCGCTAGGCTCCTCTCACAGTCCGCCCTGAAGACCAGTGTAGCATGAAAATCTGTCTCCTATGAGGATCTGTTCCCCTCGACATATCTGCGCATGTGCCAGAGATCGCCGATCGGCTGCTAATGCCTGAAACTGGCACATGCGCAGATACGTCGAGGGGGACAGATCCTCATAGGAGACAGATTTTCATGCTACACCGGAACGGCGCGGGAAAGGGCGAGAGGAACGCGCGGAGCAAAGGTAAGTGAATTGACACAGGGGGGACTTGGGGACTTAATATGGGGAATGAATTACTATAGGGGGGATGAATTACTATATGGGAGATTAATTACTATGGGGGATGAATTACTATATGGGGGATGAATTACTATAGGGGGGATGAATTACTATAGGGGGGATGAATTACTATGGGGGGGATGAATTACTATATGGGGGATGAATTACTATATGGGGGATGAATTACTATGGCGGATGAATTACTATGCTTACTATGGGGGAATATTACTATACTTACTATGGATGACACATACACATCATTCACCTACTCTTGGTCCGGCCCCCGGGTCCATTATATGAACCCATTGTGGCCCTCAAGTCAAAAAGTTTGCCCACCCCTGGTCTACACCCTCAATTAATTTGCCATTTGATTTGTCCCTTTGAAGTTCCAGCCACAGAAACTGCACCTCCTCACCAGGCCCTTTAGTAGTGTCATCCCTCATATTTACTATCAAATCGCTCTTCAAAAGGAAAAGGAAACCCATCCCCCTCTTCCATTCACCCTGTCCCTCTGATACAGAGAGTAACCTTAGAAAGTCCTCAGCCATTCATGTGAGCTGTCAAACCAGATCTGTCATATTCCCATGAAGTCAAAATTTTCCTCATAGTTCTCCCATTTTGTTACCCAGACTTTAAGCATTTGTGTACATACCTTTTAATTTTGTACATACACATAATACAATACAATAAAATGTTGGTTTCTACTGTATAAACTTGCCTATGTGCCTTCCAAAGTTTGTGGGTGGTTTTGCTGTCTGCTTTGCTGTTAAAGATTGGGAAACTACATTGGATGACTCATGGATATAGATTTTTCACAACTTTATTAGTTGCTGGCACTTAGATATTTCCTATGATTAGATGTTTGAGACATTTAGGAACTGCAACGAGAGAGAGATTTTCACAGTACACAGCAGGCACCAAGGATTTATTTTTATTTTACTAAACATGTTACAGAAAAATAGTCCATAAAAGCTTCAGATATAGTATGCCAGGCATCATTCAGTTATTAGAAGACATTGTTATATATTAGAATTAAACAGCCATATTATCCACTCCAAACATGTAAAGTATATAAGATAAACAAATATGAATAGTGGCTTTGATATGATGCATGAAGCCTTAAAACCGATGCTAATATTTGGAGATAAATACATTGACTTGTCTTTACTATGTTTCCTACACTTTATGAGGCCTACATTAGCTCTGCTATGTAAAATGATTTCTTAATAAATCTCATTTCAATAAAAAGACTGGAAGATTAATAATGTGGCACTTAATAAAGAAACATAAATTAATCTTATTGACCTTGAAAATAAAGAGAGAAAACAATACTGCTTAGCTAAATGTATAACTGAAATACACCTTTACTGTTTTAATTGCTTATGGATTTGTAACTTTGGCCAACTATTCTTGCAATACAAATGCAAATCTATTTGACAGCAAGATCACTCAGCTACTTCCTAGTTTACCATTACTGCTTCCTGGGTCAGCTTTACCACCTCCCAGGTCAGCTTCCATGCTCTTTTTTCCATTCAACCAGCGAGGTGAATGAAAACTAACTCACAGATCCCCGCATCAATACAAGCGATGTTGATGCACGGATCTCTTTCGGTGTTCTATTATATTCTGACAGTGGGGGCTCTCCCCCCCACCCATCAGGACACACAGATCAGCGCTTGCAGCTATTGACTGGTTTTCCAGCATGACCATTTGAAGTAAGCTGGTCATGCTGCTGACCCGGCCAACCTTTGGTACATTTATACTGATAAAGTTGATTCAAAATGGAAGCTGGCGGTGGACAGGGGGCATGAGAAGCTAAACTGCTGAAACAGTGACAAATTGTTACATCACAAAATACAATTTTCACCCATCTGGCTGTACAGTGTGAAAAATGTCTGTAGAGATTCCTAAATCAATTGGCATATAGAGAAGTAAACATGTATTTCAACTGTGCATTTAACCATTTGCTTAAAGCTTTGCTTTTAAATGAACATTTAGAAAATGAAGTTTCAAATAAACAATGAATATTGGGCTTGCTATTGAGTAAACCTCTAGCCAAAATCTAGACTAGAATAGATAAACCATAAGAAGCATACACTACACAATTGTAAAGTAGCTTCTACAGTACAGGCTGCTAGCTTTAATTTTTAGCCAGCCTGCTATAGATTGCTAATACTAAGCCAAAGCAAAATGGATATATTTTTTAAAGTGCTGATATTTCTGTATTTTTCTTAGCTTGTGTGGTTTAATGTGCCAAGTACAAAAAAGTAAAATGGAAAATTTTAGTAACTATTCAAAACATTGTCTAGAAACCAATTCCACATAGTTGGAATGCTTAAACTATCACATACAATGTATTATCTTTTTATAACAGCACTAATAGCAGTACTGGGTAGTAGAGCTATTTTATTCTTCTCACCCAAAGCAATCAATATGGCAGCTCAAGATCAGAATGTCAAATAAAAATTTAAAAAAAAAAAGTGTTTTGGGGGACCTGTCAAAAAACACAAGCTCTGTAAAATTAAAAGACTGCACCATTTAGAAGTTATTTTTATTGTTAAACCACTGATGTGGTGCCAGGATTAACGCGGACCAATCTAGAGGCATTTCTAAGATCCTGCAATTGTTTGGCTGGTTTTCCAACGCCCTCTTCAAATCGCTTTTCAACAACAAGCAGCACAGTGTCATATAAAAAGGATGCATTTTGTCTGATGAAATTTTTCTTTTCGGATTCTTGTTCACATCTTAGACTGTAGTCTACATGTTGAACAGCCACCAATATGATTTCCATCAAACTTTCCAGGAGAACCATATGCAGCTCAGGAAAGTACAGTTTAAGGGCTTCTTCTAAAAAGGCCATGATTTGTTTGGTGAAAGCCACAACTGTGTAACTTAAGTTGACCCAACAATCTTCGCCTGTGTATTGGTCAAAACTGCTTACTCCACAGTTTCTCATTTCTTCTTTTAACTTCCCCAAAGCCTCTGGGGTCATCAGGTTCATTTTCCTCCACATTTCTTCGGAATTACGGTGCTTGGTGGCCTCAATGATAATATCCTTGTTACTCTGCAAAGCAGCCTTTATGTCTTTCACTAGAAAAGTATGAAGTATGAATGTAAGGTCTAGACCTATTTCACCAAGCTGCTTACAGTGCTCCTTGGCAACTTTCACACACTCTGCTGCAGTGGCAAGACTTTCCTTACTATCAAAGACCTGTTTAGTAAAAGCATCAACAAACATCTTCAAGGAAGAACGGGACCATACAATGAAGGCAGAGTAACAACCACTGTTGCCAGCAAAGTCCATCTCAAACTCTTTGGCTGTCTCTAGTAAACTAGTGAAAAAAACATTACACAATTTATGAATATAAAGTATTGTTGCACCTTCAATTCTCAACTGACGTATAGCAGTTTGCACAGCCACAGCTCTGTTCTTTAAGAAAAGCTCACATGCCTTGGTAGACTGACCCAAACGTATAAGCTGAGAAACCGCTCTACGGGTTGCCTTAGGACCTCCTCTTAAAGACCTGTCAGGGGAAAGTTCAAACACCAAAACATCAGTTAATTGTCGAACACGCATATCTATTTTTCCTCTTAATTCCTGCACAGCATGGGTCGAAGGTTTATCTTGCAAGTAATTATTCAATGTATCCAGCAAATCAACTGCCCCTTCAAAATTCCTCTGGGCTATGCAGACATCCAAATCTTCAGGAAGCTCTTGAATCCACTCTAAAGAAAGATCAACCTCTTCCTCCTCCTCCTCCTCTTCATCTTGCTTTTCCTCATTCAAAAATGGGTTAGTTGACACTTCTGCAACAGCAGGAGTAACCATGACAGCTTCTTCTTTTTTACGCTTATCATTTAAAACTTTGTTCTTTTTTGTCTCTTCCAAAACTTCAAGCCACTCTTTCTTGATTTTTGCATTCTCTGCCTGAAAAATTCGACTTTCAGGAAACATAAGTATCTTGAACATATCTTTCATAGGTGGATTTTCCTTTACATTCACTACAGCGAGGTCATCCAAGTTATGCAGTGCATTATATTTGTACATGCCTCTGCGATTTGGTAATGCAGTAGCAATAAGCAAGCAGTCATTCATCAAAAATGCATGAACCTTCTGTATAAGGGTCATGCTGTCCACATCAAACTCGGTCAGGTCTCCATTATATACCAAGTACCTTAAAATAAATAGAAAAAGAGTTAAGTAAGCTATACACAATAACTTCATAATACCTTTTTATAGTTAAATATTTGTTCCTGGACAATATGGTACAATGATTTTTTCCCCCCTTCAGAGTTTCTTTAAAAAATCCAACTCCAGCCCAAACAATATATGTTCTGGCTAGTGCAGAGAAAGACTAGAGGCTCTGCTTCTATTTGATATCAATGTCCATAAGAAAGGATTAGAACTTCAGATTTTTTTTTTTTTTTTGCTTTCCTGTTCCAAAGACAACCAATTATTTTTGTCACAGGGACAAAAAGTGAGGGAAGATATCCCTAGTAGGGTCACTGACAGAAAAAAAGAAAAGTTGCAATTACTGTCAGATTTTTATTTCTATCCAAAACTAAAAAGAAAAAAAAAAATGCTTCAATATACCCTTTAAAGAAAAACTATGATTCCAAAGAAAGTAAAGTTATCCTTTTACCCTCCTTCCCCACCCTAAATGCATTTACCTGGATCAGATGACTGCAGCCCACTGGAATCTTCAGCAGCTCTGGCTAAAATAATCTTTCCCCTGGCCAGGCTTGCACAGTAAACTCTATAGACCACTATGGTGACACCTATGGAGCTACACTGCAATGGGAAATGTCACTAAAGAAATCAATGAGGTTCATCTGTGCAAACGTGGCCAGGGGAAAGAAGATTTCAGCCGAAGGTGCTGAAGATTGCAGTGGGCTGTATTCATCCAGATCAGGCAAGTATGCATCTGGGGTGGGTTTTTTTTGGGTCAGGGGGCAAGACACTAACTGCACTGTCTATGAAAGCGTAGCTACCCTTTAACCTGTTGCTGCCGATGCGGTGCACATATGGTGGGCTTTAATGCCGAGCATCTACATATAAGCATGCATTTGTAAACAATTTACTGAGCTGAGTGCACTCACCACGCACTCCTAGCACAGAAACTAACAAATAACGGAAAGCTCCTAATGTATCGGAATGCCGGCCTCTGCCTCCTGGCATGTAGATCAAGTTAAAGGTCCAGGAGGGAGTTGGGAAGGGGTTGAATCACAGTTCTATAATTTAGGTAATAGTACTATAAAACAAGGATATATAACAGCTCTGTACGAAGTTTATGTGATGAGATGCATGTGCAGTCTAAAACAAGAACACACTGGCTGATACAATGTATTTCAGTAACATCGGATACAAATCTCTCACAAGGAGTCACCTGCTTTATACATACAAGATACATATTTATAGAAACCGGTTTAAAAAAAAATAGGATATAGTACACTAAAGTGAATAGTTCTTTTTATATCTTGCAACAATACTGTGCTGTCACCTTTACTAGACCCTGCAAAGAGCTGATCGTGTGTTGTTTCCCACTGGTGCTTACTTAAGGTGGCCGTACACCGCTAGATTTTTTTTCGTTCAGCCTTAAAAAAAAAAAAAAAAAATCAGACAGATTCTGCTATGCATCCTACACAGACTGGATGAATGAACTGTAGTGCAGTCAATTTTTTTCAAGCCCTGGCGTTTGTCAGAATACTTGAACAGTAACTGCATCTGACTGGATGCAGCTGTTGTTCGGTACAATTCTCCGCCTAGCTTCCAGGGAAGTTGAATTTATATCGCCCAACAACTGGGACATGTAGTTCTGGGCGCTGGGCAGGTAGATTTATTTATTCTTTAGCCCTGCTGTGGGCAAGCAGCAGGGTTCACCTGTCAGGTGGAAGCATTTGGTTGGAAGCGCTGCTGCCAATTGTTTCCACAATGTCAGACTCTGCTCCCCCCAGGGTGAACCGCCCACTGTCTCAAGGGCTCCGCTTGCCCATCAGCTGGCTCGGGAGCAGCTCACCGCCTTCGGCTAGAGGGGAGGGAGGAGAAAGACAAATCCGCTCCCCTTCTTATCCTGACCCAGAAGTGACGTTATGATGTCACTTCCGGGTCCCCATTCAAAGATTTTCCAGCTATCATGGCCAGGAAAGAATGTAATGCAGTGTGATGTACACTGCATTACATTCAGGGGAGGCATCCAGGGTGTTTTAGACCCTGGATGTCTCAATAAAGACAACCTGTCACCAAAAATCATCACATAGGGGACAAAGTCCCCTATGTGATGAAAAAAAAAAAAAATTAAGCAAAAAAAAAGTCTTTTTTTATTTAACTGTAAAACATCAAAGTTACACCCAAGCAGATAACCCCCCTCCAAAAAAAAATTTAGGTACCCCCACATATAAGCACAGGCTGGTGTGCCTACGCATGAAAACGTTGATTGCGATACACATTACATAGCGCCGCACACACGCCAGAATGTGAGCAATAATTTTAGCATGAGACCTCCTCCATACACTATACTGATGACCTATAAGAGGCTTCAAAAATGTCGCCTATAGAAAATACAGGGTACTGAAGTATGTCGCCATTTCACTGGTGCATGCAAATTTAAGGTTTGACATGTTGGATATTTATTTACTCGGTGCAACCTCATCTTTTATATTTTACAATAAAAAAAAAAAGTAATTTATTCATTTTTTTGTGCCCTAAAATAAACTTGTTTTTTTTACTGAAATTTTGCGGTAATATCATGCGACATAAAAAATTGGAACTACCAGTACGTTATTTTCTAGGGTGTCTGCTTTCAGAAAATATGTTTGGGGGGGGGTTTTGTGTAATCTTCTGGCTTAAACTTATTTTTTTAAATGTGTGCAAAAGAATGCAAAAACGGCTCTGGCAACGAAAGGGATAAAGGATAAGCCAGACACTCCCTTTTCCTGACAAGCATCCAATCGGTGCTCATTACACTGCAATGTCTCTCCCCTCCCTGCTATTCTCCGAGTGCGGTACTGGAGACAGGCAGGGAGGGGAGGAGGAGAAAAACAGCACCATGTTAAAATTATTACACGTTTAATACGCCATAAAGCCCCTTTTGATTTTATAAGCCCCAGACATTTCTAAAAAGTACCTCAGATTTAAATACAGTTTTGGTTCAAATTTATTTTTTTCATCAGGACAAGTAGATTATCATGAGGGACAAGTAGATTGGGACACTGATTTAGTCCCTGGACAAGTCAATTTTTTCAAAAATTTCCACACCCCTGCAGCTCAAGTTTTTATGCAAAAGGGTGTTGGGCAGGTGGGTGCCAACAGGGCCACCCACAATTAAATGTGTGTGGCCATGTTTAATGCTCTCTGATGGCTGCAACCTTCTGCACTAGATTTTAATGGTCAGGCTGTAAAAATCAGAGAGGGTTGGGGGGATGAGACACACAGTTTTGTGTATCCAGGGGGCTAGAGAGGGAGGCTGGCGGAATTTTGTTTTTAACGTGAACAGGCACTGAAATTTAGAAAAAAAAAAAAAAGTGTCACCTGAAATATCTTGAAAAAAAGGAGCAGTGGTGTCAAAGCTAGTTTAGCAACATTACCTGTTGGATGCTCACATTTAATTATATTCAAATAAAGGAGATCTTCTGTTTCCCACACATCCTCTTCTGCTGCTGTGAACTTGCCTTGCAACTGGCCCTTCAATAAGATGGGCAACCTCACTGGCCACCAGAAATGTATAGGAGGTTGCAATCAAGCTGCATCTCTACCAAGCAGTACCATAGGTTTAATACAGATTTTATAGGGCTGCTTTGGTAAGCATGGTTTATGGAGATGCTACATACTGTAGTTAATTCTGTTAACCCGGCAGGTTGAAATCTCACCAGGTTCGGACAGCTCTACTGAAGTTTTATCAATGGGAATGTGTTTTTTGAGAATCAGTAACATGAATGCTGTGTATTGTCCCTTGCATCACCCTAAGCCATGTCCTTTGCTAGCTATACAGAATACCAGCCCTGCCTACTTGCTATGGAAGTACTGGAGGCCCTCATCTGGCTGCAGATCACTTGTCCAGCTACGTCTGTCTCTAAGCTGCTGAGGGAGGGAAAAGGTACTTATCTTTGCTGGGTGTGTCCAGGAAACCAGGGAGCTGTGAGAAATGAAGTTAAAGGAGCCTGTGCCTGTATCTGAGCAAGCCGAGTAAATGCACTCCTACTCACTTAAATTTTCCTGTCCCTGGCAAGGGGACTATTTAATTCATCTAACACAGTGGGTAAAAGTGAATCTTTGGAAGTTACATCTCTGGGAGTTCCTCCGGTTTGGATCTTTGTTTCATCCTTCGGATGCCAGGAGCATCCATGGATGGTGGTTCAGGGAAAACCATAGAGGATGCATGGACCTGAGCTGGATGACCACTGGACTGTGTAATACGGTCAGGATCCATGGCATCTCCTGGAAGTCTTGGAAAAATTATGAAAGAGCCAGAGGCAGCCACCATTGAACCTCTGGAGGTAAAGACATTTATGGCCTTAATGGTTTTGAGGAGTTCACAGTGAAGGAGTCTTTTCCTTCTCTCAGTATAGCATAGATAGGCATGCCTAGTACGGGTCACTGTGGAACAACTCCAGTGACTTCCTTGCATAGTGTTCGCACGTTTCCACATATTGATGTGCGTGTCAGACTAGCAGCCCAGATTAAAAGTCAAATGCTTCCAATTTTGCTTGCTCCACCCATGCCTAACTGCTGGACTTCAGACAGTAGTCTTTTCTACTCACGAATCAAAGAAGTCGTAGTGTGTTTTTTTGTTTTTGGTCACTGTGCATGGAAAGGTTTATTGGGCTGTGGTCCATTTCCTTTGTTTCTCATGAGCTCACACCTCACTGCCTTTCGGGTGGTATGAGATAGTGTGCACCTTCTTAATGCCTAATGAATGGCACCACTTTCGGAAGAACTCTTTTCAGAAACAAGGTCCCTGGTCTCAAGTTATATTGTATGGGCAGTCATAAAAAAGGCAGAAGTGCATTCACACCATCAGGGCAGCAGTTTTGGAGGTCTGGTCACAGGTCAATACTGCCAATGCAAGCTGGATAAAGTGGTCCACCATAGCTATATCGTGATGCTTTTGAATCGGGACAGAGTAATAGCTGTTGTGCTTGCTGAAATGCGGATATATAGCAAAGGTTGCTTTCAAGGTAGTTCAGGGTAGTTGGGTTTCGATTCCTGTAAGGCCTTTACTTTCTCAGATTGTGGAGTACAACTTTTCTGGAGATGAGGTATCCTATCTCGAACTAATGCTAGATGACACTTTTTGAGCTTAAACCCATACTGGTGTAGCCAGAACAACACAGCATCCAAATGTGCAAAATGGTCTTCAAAATGTGTCAGAAAATGATGCTACATTGTCTAGGTAGATTAGGATATTATCCAGGTACATAACCCCAAGGCAAACTTCTGGAATACAAACAGGCATGTTATTCAGCCCAAAGGGCATCCTTCTTAACTATAAGAGTAGCAAAAGAAGTCTTCAGTTTGTCCACCTTGGTAACTTTAATCTGCCAATACCCACTTGCGAGGTCAAGTGTAAAGAAAGATTTGGCCTGTCCCAGTATGGCAACGGAATCCCTCAAACTCTTGGTAACAGCATTCTGATACCTATAATCCACACAAAATTGGAGGGTGTCATCCATTTATATCACCAAGACAAATGGAGCCGCCCATGGGCCATTATTTTTTATTCACCCCTTGTTGTATCATCTGTTTAATATCTGCTTGACTTGACTTGTAGAGGTGTGGAGATATGCTTTTCCCAGATCGAAGGGTTTTCTTTTTTGGGTACTTATATGCTCAGTCTCATCGCTAAAGCTCAGGTCTAGTCCCTCTCTGAGAACATCTCTGACCACTTATTCATTAGTCGCCTTACCATTTCTTTTCCTTGGTGATCAGTTGTAGAAGTGGAAGTATTTACGCTCATGCCCACTCATGGTTCATTCCAGCTACCCACTGAGTCATATTCACTCTACGTAGCCACGGCAATTACACTCTCAGAGCTCTATGTGCCCCACCCTGGGGGCTGTCACATTAGTGATCAAGGTCAGTTTGACCACAGCTGTCCCAGGAAGACAGTGAAGCCTTGCAATCCATGGAAAGAGCTGAAAGGAAGTATGAGTTTTTGATTAAGTGGTAACACAACCTCTGTCTAAAATGTAACCCTGAAGATGCCAGCTTTTTTCTAGATGTTAAGAGATACGCAATATTGCCAAAAGTATTGGGACGCCTTTACACACACATGAACGTTAATGGCATCCCAGTCTTAGTCCGTAGGGTTCAATATTGAGTTGGCTCACCCTTTGCAGCTATAACAGCTTCAACTCGTCTGGGAAGGCTGTCCACAAGGTTTAGGAGTGTGTCTATGGGAATGTTTGACCATTCTTCCAGAAGCTTATTTGTGAGGTCAGGCACTGATGTCGGACGAGAAGGCCTGGCTCACAGACTCCACTCTAATTCATACCAAAGGTGTTCTATCGGGTTGAGTTCAGGACTCTGTGCAGGCTAGTCAATTTCCTCCACCCCAAGCTTGCTCATTCATGTCTTTATGGACCTTGCTTTTTGCACTGGTGTGCAGTCATGGTGAAACAGGAAGGGGCCATCCCCAAACTGTTCTTACAAAGTTGAGAACATGAAACTGTCCAAAATGTCTTGGTGTACTGATGCCTTAAGAGTTCCATACACTGGAACAAAGGGAAAGCCCTGTCTCTGGAACACCACTGGAGGGAGACTTCCTCTTTCCATGACGTCATTGGAGCGAGTCTTCCCCTCACTTCCTGATCCTGTGATCCCACTGGAGGGAGGTTTCCCCTCACTTCCTGACCTTGTGACACCACTGGAGGGAGGATTCCCCTCACTTTCTGACTGAGACCCTGAGACCCAACTAGAGGAGGGAGAGTTCCCCTCACGTCCTGACCTTGTGACCCCACTTGTGGGAGACTTTCCCTCACTTCCTGATCCTGTGACCCCACTGGAGGGATTCTTGCCCTTGCTATGTGTTTCCACACTTCCACCATTTTTGGTTTGAATCCCAACCACAGCACTATCTGCCTGGAGTTTGTAATTTAAAAACACAAAAAAAAAACCCACACCCAGTCAGTTTAGGCAGAAAAAACACTTAACACGTGTAAACATTTCCAAGCACACATTAGTAGTAGGTGCGTTTAGCACTTGAGTGTTCAATCATTATAAAGCCCAGAATTATCATTCTGGCAATCAAATGAATTAATGCCCAAGTGTTTGACGTGCCTAAACATGCTACATACATTTACAGGCATCAAACTTTTTTTTCCCTCCAAAACTCTCTGCTGATCAAAACTCCACTGCCAGGAGGAAAGCCATCTAGGGAGATGGAAAAATGTTCAGTGTGCATGAGGCCTAAAAATGTTATGCTTCCATCTATTCCTCCTTGCACTGCTAATATATTGAAATGCATACCCACATTGTTATAGAGAGAGTACACACCTGAATTGTAAGGGGCCTCCAGCTTTTAGATTTGCTTACCCATACTAACAACGTTCAGATCCCTGAAAACTATCTGTGTGCTCAATATGCTGCCTTATAACCAGCATGGTCACCCGTGCCACGTACCCAATGGATTACTTTTGCCATGCACTCGGCAGGGTCACCTGTGCCACGTACCCACGGATCACTTGTGTCATACACCCAGCAGGGTCTCCCGTGCCACGTTCTCAACGGTTCACCCGTGCCATACACCCAGCAGGGTCACCCGTGCCACATACCCAACGGGGTCAACTATGCCATACACCCAATGGATCAACTGTGCCATACACCCAGCAGGGTCACCCGTGACACGCACCCAAAAACAATCTGTATCATCTGTTCCATACACTCAGCAGGGTCACCCGTGCCACAAACCCAACAGGATCACCCGTGCACGTACCCAACGGATCACCTGTGCCATACACTCAGCAGGGTCACCCGTGCCACGCACCCAAAGGATCACCTGTGCCATACACTCAGCAGGGTCACCCGTGCCACGCACCCAAAGGATCACCTGTGCCATACACTCAGCAGGGTCACCCATGCCACATACCCAACAGGTTACCTGTGCCATACACCCAGCAGGATCACCCGTGCACGTACCCAACAGATCACCTATGCCATACACCCAGCAGGATCACCCGCACACGTACCCAACAGATCACCCGTGTCATACACTCAGCAGGGTCACCCGTGCCACGCACCCAACAGATCACCTGTGCCTTACACCCAGCAGGATCACCCGTGCACGTACCCAACAGATCACCTGTGCCGTACACTCAGCAGGATCACCCGTGCACGTACCCAACAGATCACCTGTGTCATACACTCAGCAGGGTCACCCGTGCCACGCACCCAAAGGATCACCTATGCCGTACACTCAGCAGGGTCTCATACCTCCCTGGAGTCTCCAGCAGGTTCTTGCAGCCCTCCACCTTCTCCAGCAGCGTTGTCAGGTTCCTGACTTTCCCCTCCTCAGCCTCCTTGTGGAAAGCTGCCTGCAGCTCCCGGGCGGCCTCGGTGCGGTCAGTATGTAGCAGCGTCTGGGCCACACTCTCCATGATGCCTTTCTGCTCGGTCAGGATGTGACTTAGTTGGTACATCTCTCCCTCCAGGTAACTGATCTCCCGGGCGGTTTCAATGAACTGCCGGTAATTCTGGTAGACATTGCGCTTGAGGCTCTGTGCCGTCTCATCAGCCAGGCTCTGTATGCGCTGCCGGTGCTCCTGTAAGTCCCGATCTCCATCTGACTGCTGCGACAAGCCCTTCACATACTGCTCTGCATTGAAGTTGTTGTATTCCAGCTGTCTCCTCAGCCGGAGGGCCCACGCACTAGTTTCAGTCATGATCACAACAATCACCGCTAAACGTTCCGCCGGTGAGAGCTGTCACTCTCCGGACTTCCGGTCAACATGGCAGCCTACACACCCTAGATAGCCGAGCCGCCATTATTGTTAAGGGAAAGAAAGTCCGTAGGCGTTCATATATATCCTTGACCAATCCATTTTGAACATCTTTTTCATATTGTTGGTAGTCACTATTATTCAAACGTCTTATGTAAATCTGAGTATTGATTTACAGGCTTAATACTCAATAAAATGCGCCACTTCCGGTCGATTGGCGCGGAGTACTTGGCGCGCCGCTTAGTGACGTTCTTCCTGGTCTTCTCGGAGTGAAGTGTACGTCTGCTTACTATGTACAGGCACGTTTTTCTGACAGGTCCTCCAGGTGAACACCATTTCATTATTGGTTCTGGGTTTCACTGCTACAAAGAAAACAAGTGTGTGGGAGGTTAGCCACTTGCCCTCCAGAGGATTTATTCCCCTTCTTGACCAGGCCATTTTTGCGATATGGTGCTGCGTTTCTTTGACAATAGCGCGCAGTTATGCAACACTGCACCCAAATGAAATGTATGTCCTTTTTCCCTACGAATGGAGCTTTCGTTTGGTGGTATTTGATTGTGCATTTTTTATTTTTTGCGCCATAAAGAAAAAAAGACTGACAATTTTGAAAGAAAACAATATTTTTGACTTTTTACTATAAAAACATCCAGTATAAAATATGAAAAAAATCAAATATCTTCATAAAGTTAGGCCAAAATGTATTCTGCTACATGTGTGTAAATTAATTGGTTTACGTGAAAGTTATTGCGTCTACAAATGGCGGTGTATATATATACTGGAATTGGAGAAATTTTTTTAATGCTAGTAATGGCAGTGATCAGCGACTTATAGCGGGACTGTGGCGGACATTCTGACACTGGAGGGGAACTGAGTAATTGCCACTGACACCCCCAGTGACACTAATACAGTGATCAGTGCTAATAAAAAGCACTGACACTATACTAATGACACTGGGCAGGAAGGGGTTAACATCAGGGATGATCAAAGGGTTAACCATGTGCTGTTTTACTGTGTAAGCATGCTGTGTTGTATTGCTCTGCTATGCGTGTGCTGGTGCTGACAGACCTCTCTTCTGTCACTGTTCCTCGGCAATCGTCAGTTGCCGGCTGGGAATCTCCGGCCGGGACCCGGTGATCGACAGCTGTAGCCACAAATGGCAGCGCACGCGCCCCCTACCCAGAAATACAAAATCGCATACATATATACGTGATTTTGCACAGCCCTGCCGCCCTGTAGCAGTACTTCTGCTATAGGGCGGTTAAAATAAGAGCTCCAGTCAGTTCTCTGTAAATTAAAAGCAGCTACAAAAACTATCTGCTGACTTTTAATAAAAAGACACTTGTACCAGGATGCAGTGATATGCTCACCTGAGGGGGCGCTGGGGATTGTGTTTGGTGCTCAGAGCTGGCATCTTAACCGTGGACAACTGGCTGTGACAGGCTGTGGCTTCACAGCTGGAGTGCCCACTGTGCATGCATGAGTAGCATTGTAAATGGTCCCGAAGTCTTCTGGGACCTGTCATATGTCCCAAAAGACTGAAGGGAGGATGAAAATCTTCTGATCATCTAGGCGGTGGGAGCGGGTGCCTATCAAACTCCCCAAAAGTGGCAATTCTTTTCCAGGAGTGGGGAAGGAGCTCCACTTTAAGGTCCTTAGAACTGTCTTATATGAGAGCTGAAGTCTGTGAACTTTCCCATTCTGCCCTCAGCCCCCTCCCACCCCTCGATGACCTGGCTAATTTTGATCCTTTTTGGACAACAGTCGTGGAACACTTTATGTGGCAACTTAAAGCCAGCTCTAGTTTTTTTTTTTTTTTTTAAATCCATTCTTACCTGGGTTCTCATATCAAAATAAAAAATTTATTAAAATGCATTCTCATATGTCTGGCGAATCCAGTGTTGCAGTATGCCACTGCAAATTGAGTACTAGTGACCATCTTCTGTACATACACTGCCACCTTTACCGGGCTCTCCCCTTTTCATCAGGGAGTCCTGCACCAGGCAAGTTGCATTCCTTTGAACAGCGGAAGAAACGGAAGTTCTCGCCACATTTCTATTACATCAGAAACAATGAGGATTTTGTTTGTTTATAAGGCGTTACCCGTTTGATCAGATGCTTTGGACTCGAGGGGAGATATATGGGGGTCTAATAGACCCCAGATCTCTCCAAAAAGATGAATGTTATTCATCCCTTTTGATAGAAATAAAATCGATCCAAAATAAAGTAATAAAAGGTAAAAAAAATAACCGAAACAAAATTTTATCATGAGACTTTTTAGGTACCAAAAAATGAACAAATAAAATTAAAAAGATAATTTGATTACATAATATCCGAATCACAACTTTAAAATCTTTCAATATACTAGTAGTCTTGTGATTAAAGCGATTCTAAAGGTTAATTTTTTATTTTTGGAAAATAACAAACATGTCTATACTTACCTGCTATATGCAGTGGTTTTGCACAGAGGACCTTGAATCCTCCTCTTCTCGGATCCCCCGCAGGCTGTCCTGGCCCCTCCCAACTACCGGGTTCCTCCACAGCAAGCAGCTTGCTATGGGGGCGCCCACTGCTTCATGTGTCCTTTTGCACACAGAGCCGAAGGCTTGGCACGACCCCCTCTTGCTCCTCATTGGCTGACTAGCTGTGATTGACAGCAGCGGGAGCGAATGGCTCTCCCCTTGCTGTCTCAGCCAATGAGGAGGCAGAGACCCGGGACAGCCGAGGCTGTCATACATATCACTGGATCTCAATGGGGCTCAGGTGAGTATTGAGGGGGCAGGGGGCACTGCTGCACACAGAAGGCTTTTTACCGTCATGCATAAAATACATGAAGGTAAAAAACCTTGAGCCTTTAAAACCACTTTAATTTTAGCTTTCAAGTAAATAGATGTTTTGCTGTTGGTCATAATATACAGAAATGTGGAAATTTTTTCATTGTAATTGTTCTTGTTTCATTTATATACACTATATATTGCCAAAAGTATTTGGATGCCCCTCCAAATCATTGGATTTAGGTGTTCCAATCACCTCCATGGCCACAGGTGTATACAATCAAGCACCCAGGCATGCAGACTGCTTCTACAAACGTGAAAGAATGGGTCACTCTCAGGAGCTCAGCTCAGCAAAGTGGAAGCAACTGGGAACAACAGCAACTCATCCATGAAGTGGTAGGCCACATTAAGACAGAGCAGGGTCAAGTCATAAGTCTCCAACTGTCTGCAGAGTCAATAGCTAAAGGCCTCCAAACTTTGTGTGGCCTTCAGATTAGCACAACAACAGTGTGTAGAGAGCTTCATGGAATGGGTTTCCATGGCAGAGCAGCTGTATCCAAGCCTCACATCACCAAGTGTAATGCAAAGTGTTGGATGCAGTGGTGTACAGCACGCCACCACTGGACTCTAGAGCAGTGGAGACGTGTTCTCTGGAGTGATGAATCACGTTTCTCTGGCAGTCTGATGGATGCATCTGGGTTTGGTGGTTGCCAGGGGAACGGTACTTGCCTGACTGCATTGTGCAAAGTGCAAAGTTTGGTGGAGGGGGATTATGGCGTTGGGTTGTTTTTCAGGGGTTAAGGCATACCAAGACATTTTGACAATTTCATGCTCTGAAGTTTGGTTGGGAACACGCACGTAGGTTATGCACACATATGTAGACCGTGATCGCACCACACATGTGAGGTGTCGACTCAAACGTCAGAGCTAGAGTAACAATTCTAATTTGTTGCCATTCCATGGGTGTGTGCAATTTTAAAGCGTGACATGTTTGGTGTCTATTTACCTGGCCTATCATCTTTTATTATTTTACCAACAAAAGGTGTTATATTGTGTTTGTGTTCACTAAAATTTATTAAAAGTGTTTTTTTTTTTTTCTAAAAAAATCCATGTTTTAAAAAAAACGCTGTGGAAATATCAGGAATTTGCAATTCCAGGTCCCTGTTGACAGATTCCCAGCCATCGATTCCGGGAAAGAATGTAATGCATGCAATGTGCACTGCATTACATTCAGTGGAGCACAGGGGAGACAAAAGACTACTTGTCACCAAAAAAAATCATCACATTTAATCACATAGGGGACTTTTTGTCCCCTATGTGATTAAAAAAAAAAAAAAGTTAAGAAAAAAAATGATTTTTTAAAAATGTAAATTTACACCCAAATATATACCCCCCCCCCCCCCCCCCCCCAAAGTTTTCAAGGCCTCCCACCTCCATATATGTACACACACAAATGTAAAAGCATGAGCTGCGGCGCCTATGCATGAAAACAGCGATTGCGATACATACCAGAACGAGAGCAATAATTCTAGCACAAGACCTCCTCTGTAATGCTAAACTGATGACCTATAAGGGGCTTTAAAAGCTCACCTATAGGGTAATAAAGTTTGTTGCCATTTCACGAGTGCATGCAACTTTAAGGTTTAACATGTGGTTATCTATTTTTTCAATGCAACCTCGTCTTCTATATTTTACAAAAAAAAAATGGATAATGTATTGCTTTTTGTGTCCTAAAATTACTTTTGTGATAATACCGAGTGGCATAAGACATTTTAACTACCACTATTTTATTTTCTAGGGTCTCTGCTTTCAGAAAATATATAATGTTTTGGAGTTTTGTTTAATCTTCAGGCCTTAAATGATTTTTCAAAATGTGTGCAAAAAACACAAAAATGGCTCCGGCAGCAAAGTAATAAAGGATGTCAGACATTCCCCTTTCCTGACGAGCACCCAATCAGTGCTCATTACACTGCAAGGTCTCTCCTGTTAGTCCCTGGGTGTGGTGCTGAAGAAAGGCAGGGGAGGAGGAGATAAACAGCGCAATGTTAAAAATATTAACCATTTACGTAGCCATAAAGCCTCTTTTGTTTTTAAAAGCCCCAGACATTCCATAAAGCGCCTTAGATTTAAATACGGTTTTGGTTAAAATGTATTTTTATGTATCAGGACAAG